GTAAAAATTATGTTCCAGAATATTTAAATAGGCAAATATTGGGAGCTGGGGATTTAGCTCAGTGGCAGAAGCGCCTGCCTTGCAAGCACAGAGTCATGAGTTTTTTCCCCGGTACTGATAAAAAATAAATAAATAGGAAAATATTCACAATATTTCAAAATATCATGGTATCCACTGTGCAATTCCATTTCAATGAAAATAGGAACATGTGTATACATGAACTTTAAAATACTACTGCACAGGATGAAATAGTCTTTAAACTGGCTTCTTTTAAAAAATGCAATTCCAGTTCACACTGAAGGGTGGAAAACGGACAAGAAAAGCAGACTTTCCTAATCCTTCCCCCTTGGTAATTCTGAAAACCTATACCCAATACTGGTTCCTGATCAATTTCAATTTCATCATTAACCACTTCTTCACAGAAAGCATCCTAAAGCAGTTGGGGGAAGGGAAGATTTAAAGAATTTGAAAATAAACTCCCAAAAAACATAAACTACTAAATTTTGAGCTTCCTGTTCCAAAAAAGACAAAACACAAAAGTCTACCTCTCTGTTGGTGACATAGTTCTTCAGATACACAGCATAGTTCAGAGGTTAAGCAGATTCAAACGTTCCTATAGCATCCAGGACCATTTTAGGAGGCCTGAATTACATAATTTCTCAAGCTAGCAGAAACAAAACATGAAAGAATAAAATAAGTTTTCTTAGAAGGATAATTACTTTCCCCATAACTTTAAAACATTTTTCAAATGCAAATAATGATCTCAAATATACAAATTCACAAAAAGCGAAGACAAGGGGCAGCTCAGTGGCATAAGCACCTGCCTTGCAAGCAGGCGGTTGTGAGTTCGATCCCTGGTACCCATAAAAAAGAAAAAGGACAAAAAAAAAAAAAAAAAGCAAAGACACGTTAGCATAATTCCATTAATTCAAACACATTCATTAAGTATCACCAAACACTGTGCTAGCACACATATTAGGACATGGGATTATGTAACAGGAACACAAAAAACAAGCAACCTAAAATGTAACATTTAAAATTTTTTTATAATATAAAGCGTTACATTGTAAAAACAATGCAAAAATGATTACAGTATTACAGGATTTTAAAAAACCTAACATAAGTATGCACCAAAAGCACAGACAATATAGGAGAGAATACTGAGCCAAGAATATAGGATATAACAATGGGAGGGATATGTACACATAAAAATTTTGCCAGAGGGGAAGATTATTTTATACATGCTAGTATAATGAGTTTTAAAAAACACAAGACAAAATTTTAAGTCAGAAAACAATAGGCAGGCCGGGCATGGTGGTGCACACTTATAATCCCAGCACTAAGAGGCTGAGGAAGGAGGAGGATTGCTGAGTTCCAGGCCAGCCTGGACTACAACATTAGTTCAAGACCAGTCTGAACTGCACAGTGAGACCATGTCTCAAAAAAGACAAAAGAGAAAGACAAAAAAAGTAAAAAGCAAAAAGCAATGATGCTGAATCAGTAAACAGTGATTTAACTCGTAACTACCTTACACAGATCAGCTGGCTTCTATGCAAATGGTTGTATTATGTATATACTACATCTATATAAATTACCATCACCTTCCAAGGTTATTTCTAGAACGCTTTCAAATTATATATGTGTATAACAACATATACATATATACACACAAGATGTATGAAGTGAATATATATCCACAGGGTGTATTTTTAATGTTTTAGGTAATATTTGATTACAGAAAAATTATTCTAACCCAGATTACACCATACCAAGTTTATCATAATTCTAGTTAATCTAATTCTAAAATTTAATACAATCCCAAATTGCTTTTTGAAAGTCTAATATTGACATGGTGTTTCTGGCTAATGTGAGCATAATAAGCAAAATAACCAGTATTTCAGGCATTTTATTTCTCCAAGTGCTTTGGCCAAATTGGCAAACATCATATACTGTTTACATTAACTCAATAGCAAAGAACAAAGAGCTCTAAGTATTACACAATATGCCTTTAAATGTTTAAAACTCTATTGAAAAAGTTTATTTAACATGTATAATACTTGAAGACAATGCTGCTGCTATAACCATTTGACTACAATATTAAACATTTTCTGTAAAACAAAAAATTACCAGAAAAAAACTCCATGTAGTTAGTTCCCCTAGAACACAAAGCATTTTGCTCAGGCATATACTTAATACTATATTGCCTTTTAAAAAAGACATGAATTTGAAACAATGAAATAACATACTATTCTAATTCCTTTCTTCATTTGGTTTATTACTAAGACAAAGCCTTAACAAAACAAGTTCTTTAATTCTTGATTACATCGACACACTCAATCTCCAAAGGTTATGTATTTTTCTACATAGAACTCAAAAAAACAGAACAAGGCCTCTAAACGTCTTAACTGGATTTTATACCACAACTACTATTTACAAAAGTGAACAATTTCCCAAGCATTTCTTTTATTTCAAACTTAAGTCAGGTGAAGAAGATTGAACTACCCGTCTCTACTATAATTAAATCTCTATGAACTGTGGCTTTAAAAAAATACCAGAAAAATATATGTAGGATTCAAATAAAATCTGTATTGCAGAGTTAGGCCAGAAGAGCTTCTGTCACAAAATCTCATCTTTTTATAATATACAGGATTATAAATAATAAATTTCTACTTAAAAACATGACCTCAGAAATTAAAGATGAAAAAAAAAATTAAAGATGATAGACACAAAAATTATCAGACTAAAAGCTAACCTTTCAAAGAAATTCACTCTTTCTGGTTTAGCTAATAATGCACAAACAAACAATGCTGGTTCTTAGAGGAACTATCATTGTTTTCTAATGTAACAGTTTTTAAAAATAAACCCTCTCCCAGATTAACCTCACAGAAGGTTAACGTCTCATACCAAATATCACACATTAAAATATATTACTTGTTTCCTACTCAAAGAGTATTACAAAGCTCCTACTTGTGAAGTTCTGAATGATTAAAGTAATTTCCAAAGCAGTTCTATACTACCTACATTTAGTTTTTTTTAAAAGAAAGACAATCTTCTGGTGAAGTTCAGTGTATCAAAAAATCAACATCTTAGAATTAAACCACTAGAAATATTTTCTCATTTAGTATAACAGGTGTACAGTCCACTAACATTACTACATAAAAATACTTGCACTGTTAAATTATCTTTGGCAAATATAAAAAGAGGGAGGGGCGACTTTGAAACGATCCATTTTATACACGTGTCAATTCACATTACAAATGTTATTCTATCAGCTGTCCCAAGGAAATATTCAGTACTTTTAAAAATTAAGTAGTCTTTGCCCATCTCTAAAATAGAATTTAACATTCTGATCCTATTTGACTGAAAGATACCAATAAAGTTACCGTCACTGTGTTCAGCTTGTTTTAGCAGGTTTTCTCCTAAACAAGCACTATCTGAGACAGACTTCTCGATCTCCTTCATTGTAGGTCTAATCGGCGGAAAGCAGTGAGACACTGTACTGCACTGTGAATGGACAGCCAGGTATTTTATGAATGGAGGCGATCACGTGATTCCAGCACCTCCCCGAACTGATATTTCCCACATAACTGTGTCAACATTCTGAGAACTGGGCTAGTTGTTTGTGTGTGTGTTATTAAATTTAATCTAAAACTCAAAATCCCTTTTACTTCCTGAATTCAAAAATCTACACGAGAAAAAAAACTTAGAATTTTTTTCCTAGGAAATCCTTTCAAGTTGTCCAAGGTGATGGATGTTTAATTATTCTTTTTATGAATGAAGACTGTGCTATGCAAATGAGGGCGATTCACAAAAAGAGAGAGAACATGGCGGCCACTTCTGCTAGACCGCACTGACACTGCAGAACCTACCTCCTACACTCGCTCATCAGAAGTGTGGGATTTTCGAGGAGGGGGAATAATGGTTGGCATTTTTCTAGCTATTTTATGTTAGACTGGGCTCGGCACTTGACTTTTAAAGTTTTCTAAAAAGGTCTGCCTTGAGGAATGCACTTTGTTTAAAGGAATGCATCCTTCCTTAATAGTCCTAACTCACTTAACTCTTTCCAACCCTTCAAACATAAACAAAACTCGAACTTAATCGTAAGAAAACAGATAACTACAGTTCTACATAGAATTAAATTCCTTCTAAATTGCAAACTGTTACCGTACTATTATTCCTCCAGACAGCGCCTAGTTTAAAGCAAAATATTTAAAAGGCAAACTATTTGGTCTGGAAACGAGAATAATCCAACTAAGCAAAAACTTTAAACAAGAATGTCCCAGAAGTTCATGCAGTCACTACCGCGTTCAGTAACCTAATTCTTCAAAGTAAATAGTGTAGTTAACATAGCCGAAGGGTACAAAGTAGCATTCGCAACTGTTTTGTGCTCCTAAGGAAGGTACGTTCAATACTCGTAAAGGTAAACAAAAACAGCTCGACATCTCCCATATTCCAAGCGTCCTTAACCTTACTAAATTTTTAAAAATGTTTCCCTAACCTTTTTTTTTTTTTTAAACCAATAATCTGGTAGGTCATATGCTTAAAGAGGGGGGCAGGGAACGAAAGCTTAATCGGTATTTAAGAGTCACTGACTCATCGAATTAAGATTCAAGAGCAGTGTGCTGCAGGAGGTGCTCCCACACATTAGTTTCCAAGTGAAATAGCTAGAAAGGAAGCAGAATGGATGTCCAAGGTATGTTGGGTGGTATGCTAGGCCGAAGGAAGACAAACCAAAGTCTTCGAGGCAAAAGATAATGTCTACACTTTTATACGTCCACAGTACTCCATCTCTATCCCACCACTGCACTCACAGAAAGCAATCAGCCCTAAAGGGTTGAGAGGAGCACTGCCATTAAATAAAATGGCCCCAAAATCGCTCATCTAGATGCACCGACTTTCCAGGGTTGCCAGCTTTCCGGCACACGAGTCCCCACGGGATCTAGGCAAGTCAGTGAAGGGGGGGGGGGGGGGGAATCAAGATCAATGAGGCGCTTGCTTACTCGTAGTCAGAAGTCGCCGTCTCCTCGCTCATCTTTCCCTCACCGTGATCCGATCTGGAGATGGAGGAGCAACAGCAGGCGGGGGAGCAGGAGCAGCGCCGAGGGGCAGCAGGCAGCGGCGGCCGGGGGGGCGCAGGGGCAGCGGCTCAGGGGCCTCACCATGGTGGACGTCTCACCCGGAACGGTGCCCCCCCAGCCGGGAACCCCGGCCACCCCCGTAAGGGGGTGGCGGTAGCGACCTCCGCCGTGGCGACCCCAGCCTCAGCACCCGGCCAAGGGACCCAAAGGAGGCCGGCTGCAAAGGGAAAACGGAAGGGGTCGAGGGGAGCTGCAAGGCAAACTGGAGAGCAGCTCCTCCGGCCTCTGGGGTGCAGCGCCGCGGGGTCCCGGCAGGAAGAGCGGGCGGAGAAGCCGGGGGCAGAGGCGGCGCTTCCCTCAGGGATGCGGCGAGGAGGAAGCCAGGCTGCGCTCGGCAGGGGCCGGCGGGGGGGTGCCGAGCCCAGGCTCCGGGCGACGACGGCGGCGCGGTCCAGACGGAGCCCACCCCACCATCTCCCGCTCAGCCCGGGCGCTCGGAGTCGGCCCTCAGGCACCCGCGGGGCCGGGCGCGGGGCCGCGGCGGCGGATTCCTCCAGACGCGCTCCGGCCGGGACTCCTGGTGGGGGGAGCGGGCGCGGCGGGGAGCGTGTGAGGAGAGCGGCGGGCGAGCCGCTCGCTCCCGGGATCCGGGCCGGAGAAGAACGCGGAGCCCCGGCACTCAAGGTCCGACAAGCCTCGGCCCAGGAGAGCGGCCGCGAGTGCCCTCCAGCCCGCGCCCACCAGCAGCAGGGCGGCGGGTCGCTCGCACGCCCGCGAGAGGGGAGCTGCGAGGGGGGCGGCGGAAGCGCTCACGCCGCCCGCTCCTTCCGCCGCCGCGGCCGGAGCCGGGGGCGCCCGCGGGAGAGGGAGGCGAAGTAGTCCCTCGCGGCTGCTCCGGGCCGCCGGCCTCGCCGCGGGGGCAGAGGGGCAGCGCGGGGGGGTGGGGCTGCCCAATGGGGCGCCCGAGCCCTGGGGGGAGCGTAGGCAGCGAAACTGAGGGGCGCCGAAGCACTGCAGGTCGAAGTCGTGTGCAGCATAGCAAGTTTCAGGAAAGTAGTTCCCTCCTCCCTTCCTTTCCCAAATCGCGGTGGAGCCGCCGAGCGGGAGGGGGCGGGGGAGGAGGCGGAGGGATACGCGGCTGCACCGCGTTTGGCGTGCGTGCGCGCGCTCCAAACTCTTGGCACGCTGCAAAGGGGGCGGGGGTGGGAGCTGCAAGGGGCGCTGCTCGCTAGGTTGCATTGTTGCGGCGCGTTTCTCTGCGTGGCCTGGCTTGGACTCTCCTGGTTGCTTGAATCAGCAAGCTACAAAGAGGAGTGTGCTCAGGGAAGAAATTTGGATGCTACTACGTTCTGCCGTGCGTGTGTGTGCGTGTGCGCGTGTGTGTGTTTCTTACAGAGCAGAGAATGGAATCTGCATGAGTATATCTTAGTTGGGGTTACAGACAGGGACTGCAAAGAGAGCTCCTCCTGCTGTCCCTCTGGTTGCATTGCTGCAGTCCCCAAGCTTCCTGCACCGGCGAAGATTGTGTGCCGGGAGTTGGGGGATGGTGTAGAGTAGTTTTAATATCTCGTTGCCTGATTTTGTACTGCGCAAGGGGTATGCCGGGCAGGGCATTCATACCCGAAAGCAGGAGTGGTTATTAATGGAGAAAGACTTCCATTGAAGCCCAGGGTAGGCGTGTTAACATGAATCTGGCGCATCCAGAAGCACAGGAAATAACTCCCGCTGAGAGCGAGGTTGCATAACTATAGCGCAGAAGATTCCTCTGTGCCACGATCTGCTTCAAGGGGCGGGGGAATGAAACAAGTACTAAACAGACAGCTGTCACGTTTGCATTGGTAGGAAAAAAAAACACCATGTATTCATCTCGAAAGATTTTTGCCCTGGAACCTGCGGTTTCAGATTGTGTTCTAGGGTCTGTCCTGAAGACTCGGGGTTCTCGGCTCTACAAATTCTATTATTCTCTACCTAGAAAGCCGGCCTGGGGCTTAGGGGACCGAATCCCAAGTGCTCCCAAGTTTCTGAACATCCCCTAGATAGCAGTCTGACGCTGTGCGCAATGCTTTTCACGTCTCATATCTGTGTGAACTGAGAAGGAAGGTTGTTGCCCCAGCCACCTTGAGGAGTAGAGCAGTTCCAGAGGTACAAAGATAACTTAGGTGGGAGCCCACACTCCTCTTCTGCCATCTACTTAAGCTTTGGGATTACTCTCCCGAGGAGCGTGCATGCCAGTCCGTTAACATTTGAGTGTACATAGGAGCGCTTAATGCTTGAAGACTGAATGAAGGAGCGAAACCAATGTTCCCCCCTCCCCAAAGATCCTCTTAATTCCTGAGGTTTCTTTATGTAATTGGCTTCCCGCCACAGCAGGTTGGTCCCAACTGAAAGCAAGGAAGGGGACCATTCATAATGGGAAAAGGTGAGGGAGGTCTGTAACACAGGGATCTTTAACCTGTAACATGCAGGGCTTTCCCTGCCAGAGGCTTGAGTACTGGATTTACAGGTGTGGACCACCATGGCCAGCTTAAACTGGCCTTTTAGACATGTCTTTGTAAAGAATCTGTACCAGGCATTATTTGATACGTCTATTCTTCCACTGCCACCTCTAAGTAAGGCCACTTGGGTTTGAATAAAGTTCCATTACTGTACTCAGTATCTCAGTTCTTAAGCAAATTTCTTAAATTCTGTTCCTGAATATAATGGGGGATAATAGTAAGTACCTAATTCAGAGCTGTTGCACTGATTGAGATAATTTGCAAAAGCACTTAAAGAATTCGTAGAACACAGTCAATAACTCTTAGTATTTTGTATAACAGATGATAGACTCTGACTAAAGTGGTAGCAGTTGCTCTGAAGATTAAATGTAAATCATTCAGTATTATTCATTCATTCAACAAATCATCATTTTCTGTGTAACACCCTGCTAGGTATGTACGTGGCCTGGTCCTAAGTAAGCTGCCAGTGATGATCACACTGGGAAACTAAGGCAGTAAGTCTGCAAATTCAATCCCAGTCTGGGTGCCTTAATGACAGTGAGATTCTGTCTGCTTGTCTCAGAATAAAAAATTAGGGCTGAGCTGGGGGAAGCAGGCCTATAATCTTAGCTCTCTGGGAGACTGAGGAAGGAGGATGGAAGTTGTAACCAGCCTGGGAAATACAGTGATTTAGTGAGACCCTGTCTCAAAAATAAAAGAGGGCTGAAGATGTAGTGGAGTACAAAGGTGGATTCAATTCCAACTACCACAATAAATAAAAAATTTAAAAATATAAAAGACCTGAGGTGTAGCTCAGTGTAAAGGTCCTGGGTTCAATCCCCAGTACTGAAAGAAAAGAAAAACACATTTGCAAAACCATCTTTCACTTTTGAAGATGTGCCTCTCTTTGTTTCTAGTCAATGCAGCAGGAAATCATCAATACCAGTTGTTTTAGGAAAAGATATTAAAGTATCTAAAGTATTGTCATATCGCAGCCTATGTACTGGCCACATTTGTAAGCCTGGCTTATCTAAAGGGACAAGACCATGAGCAATGGCCTAAAGGAATGCTTTTTAGGTTACTTTAAATCCCACAGCCAAGATATCCTCACCAAAACATTCATACTACTTTTGGTGATCCCCATGCCTTGCCATTCTTGGGACACTTTTGTACACTCTCATACACACCTTTTATTTTTGCCATACTGGATGTTGAACCCAAGAACTTCACAATGATTCACATTCACAGCCCTGCTTATATTTTATTTTTAGGTAAAGTCTTGGTTACTTTCCTGGTCTGAGCTCTAGTTTTCAATTCTCCTGGCTCAGCTTCCCAGAGTGCACTTTTGTAGCCTTTCTAACAATGCATTTGTTCCTTTCTTCTCTAGCCCAATTGGTGACAGTCTTACCAGCTTTTTTAGAAATTGCCTGGTCTGGGCGGAGCTGAGTGTTCAGCTCTGAAGCAGGGATAACCCTACAAAGAGGCTAAGATCCTTATCGTCTTCTAGTCTGAGGTTCCATCAGTGGTTGCCCTAAACTCAACTTGCTTTGCAACTATCCTCTTTCTGATGTTGGACTCCAAAGTATAAGTGACATGGTGACCAAAGGCAAAGTGTGGGACCTTATTTGGATGCTGATTGTTTTTTTGAACCAGGGAGTGAACTCATGACCTCACAAAGGAAAGGAGGCTTAATTGCCAGGCAGGTGCTTAATGCAACTGAGCTAAATCCCTGGCTGGATCCTGATTTGAATACATATTTTAAAATGTCAGACAATTAAATAAATTTGAACACTAGAGATTTGATGAGAATAAAGAAATTTTTAAGTATTGGTTTGTGATTGTTTTTGTCTTTCAGAGGTACATAGTGAAATATTTATAGATGAAATAAAGTAATACCTGAGATGTAGTTTAGAATAATCTAATGGGGTAAGGATTTGGGAAGAAAATTGGTAGAGATATAAAAAAAAAAAAAAAAAAAAACACCACAGGACTGTTCATTGATAGAGTGCATCTCTTAATTTTATATATTTTAAATGTTTTATAATAATGTTTTTTTCCAAATATACCATTTATATTTAAAATGCAGGTTTTAGGCAATGGCCCAGATATTTTGTGATCAATAGACCTGTAGTGGGGCCACAAATCTCCTTTTTCAAAAGTATGGTAGGCAGTTGGCTCATTTTTAGTGCCTCCACCCTTTTCCCTCCTTTCCTTTGCAGTTTCTTTTGTCACTCTGTATCACAGCACATCCCAAGCAAACACCCCTGCATTCACAAAGTAATGGTATTCCAAGGTATGTCATAGTAAATACTGATCAGCGCTAACGGGATGATTCAACTAAGAAAGGTTAAAAAAAAAAAAAAAGAAACCTTACTCACAACTAAGAAAGGTAGATCCAGCCAGCCTTGAATATGTGAGAAGCTAAATACTGATTATGGATTCACTTTAAATTTCAACTCTGTTCAGCTGGTACAGAAGCAGAAGGTGTCTGTGACCTGTGTCTGGTCTCAGCAGGGAACAGAACACCTTGTATAGTGCATCCCTGCCTTAGGACCATGTGAGTTTCGAACATTCACAAATGCAAATGGACCTTTTATTTGGTTTTTTATACTTCACATTGTATATTTGGGTCAATAAAACTCACTTTGTCA